GTAGCGTGTGTCAACTCACTGCCTCCCCGGTCGCATCTACCGCCATCGACCACCACATCCGTGGCAGCCGCCGCCCTCGACGCGGCCACACTCGGGGCCGGCGCCCTCGCCGCAGTTGGCGAGTACGCCTAAGCCCTATCCGCCTCCGCCGTCGCCTCCGCCGCCCTCGCCACCACCTCCGTCGCCGCCGCCGCCCTCGCCGCCGTCGCCTCCGCTTTCACCTGGTGGGCGACGTTCTCTGCTTGCTGAGGAGACTCCTCCGCGTTCGTCATCTCCCATCCCTCCGCTCAGCATCTGTCTGCTGGCATTCCTTGTAGTAGGTGCTACTTTGTCTGCCTTCCTCTGCCGGCGAAAGACCCGACGCTCGCGAAGCCTGCTGCCCATCTCTGAAAGAGATAGCGCAAGCACCTCGGGCCGCGTTTCGACGTGACACCGTAACTCGGTGCTTAGAACGCTAAACCCCCACGTTGTTGCGCATACGCACACGTGGCGACGTGGGTGATCAGCCGTCTCCCCTTCCGGCCGTGCATTTCGTTGCCCAGCGTGAGCAGTGTCGCGCGCGAAGGTGGAGTTTTGTTGTTCTGAATTCTTCTTCACTGTTACCTCATCTTCTGAGATGGGAGAGAGCCTGTTGACATCCCACCCAGCACCCTTCCCGCGGGTCTCGCTCTCGCGTCTCGGCCCGGCTGAGGCAAGGAACGCGCGCGGCCGCGCTCGTGTGTGTCTCTCCGAGTGTCGAGAGGGAGAGAGAGAGAGAGAGAGAGAGAGAGAGAGAGAGAGAGAGAGAGAGAGAGAGAGAGAGAGAGAGAGAGAGAGAGAGAGAGAGAGAGAGAGAGAGAGAGAGAGAGAGAGAGAGAGAGAGAGAGAGAGAGGTCTGCACATGCACATGTGCACATACGGCTTGTGTTATGATAACATGATATGTGTGCGCATGTGCGTGCGTGGTGTATTCAGTGTGTTCTGGTTTTTTCGGAGAGGTGTTCTGCTTCTGGTTTTTTGGGAGAGGCAGAGGGCTGGGGCGAACTCGACCCGCACTGCAGTGCACCGGCGCCGGTGCTGGCGCACGCGCAGAGAGAGAGAGAGAGAGGCTCGCCGGACGGGACGGCAAAGCCCGGGGACGCCGGACGCTCCCTCGCAGCTCTCGGCTGCTCGAGCGCGGGGGCTAGGGCGCGCGTGCGACGTAGTAAAGACGGCCTCATCGCTTCCCTCCGCGCATGCCGCGGCCGAACCCTCAGCGCATGCTGCCGACCCCACCAGCGTACTCCAGCTTGGCTCCCTGGTCCCCCGGGGTGGCGCTCCCATTCCTCTTCTTGTTGCCCTCCGCCCCGTTCCGGCCGCCCGCCGCCGCGCCCTCCTTTCCGGACAGGAAGAGCTCGGCGCGGATAGCCTGCCTCGGGAACGACACGGGTAAGCGAAGGCCGGCCGTCTCGGCTCGTCTCGGCTCGTCTCGTCTCGTCTCCTCTCGGCTTCTCTCGCCTGCAGCAACTCCTCTGGCCGGCTGGCGCGCGCAAGGCCGCGCCGCGCCGCCGCCAGCCGACGCGCGCAGACAATGAGGCAGAGACCGAGCAACGCCGCGGCGTACGCGACCGGGCGTAGCGGCACCAGCCAAGAGACGGCCTCGGCGGCCGGGTCCGCGGCGGCGGCGGCGGCGGCGGACGCCTTTGCCGCCGCGAGGCGGGCCGCCAGCTGCGTCGGCAAGTGGTGGGGAGGCACCTCGGGGACGCTCGCCGCCCAGCCACGCACGGCGGCAAAGAGCACCGAGACGCTTCGTCGGGCGGCGCGTGCGTCGGATCGGACGAGGCCGAGGAGGGCGGGGCCGAAGACGGTCGCAGCGTCGCCGGTCGTCGCGTTGATGTACGAGAGTGCGTCGGCCTGCGGTTGTGAGTACATCACAGAATCCGGGTGTGAGTACGGCATCGTGCAGTGAACACAAAAAAAGCTACGAACGCAGTGATCAGCCGACAGCGGAATACGTGTCCTAGCGAGTGCTAGTCGGATGACAAAAGTCTGTGTTCCGCTTCTAGGGGCGTCGGCCAGCGCGGCGCGCGCAGAGGCGGCCTCGCCCTGCGCCTCATCTGCGTCCAAGCGCAGCGACGCGGACTCCGCCTGTTGGCGAACAACGTGGTAGATGCATGTGCTGCCTGATTGGGACGCTGGCCTTTTGCAGTGCAGTTCTTGCCTCGGCGGCCCGGCGCGCCTCGGCGCACTGATCCTTCTTCAGCCCGATCACCCGCACCTGCTCGGCGAGAGTTGCGCCGAGGTTGCGCCGAGGTTGCGCCGAAGTCCGAAGTCTGCAGCCACGCCTGCTCGGCGGTGACGCCGGCAGCGGCTGTCGCTTTCGCCTCGGCAGCGAGCGCGGCGTCGAGCGCCGCAGACCTCTCCTCGAGCGCCGCGCGCAGCTTGCCCGCCTCCGCCGCCAGCTCGCGCCGCACCGCGCTGCACGCCGCCGCCGCCTCGGCCGCCTCACCGAGCGCCCCCGCCTCGGCGGCGCACTTTTGCAGCGCCGCCTGGTCCGCCTCCGCCCGCTCCGCCGCATCGGCCAGCCGCCGCTCCGCCGCTCCCATCCCCACCGCCGTGCGCTCACACTCCGCCTGTACGCCGTCGGACTCTCTTTGAGTCCCCCCCCCCCCCCTCCCCCCATCGCATCAGCTACTGGCTCCCCTTGGCGCCTGCGACACCCACTCGTCCTCAACGCGCGCCTCGCACGCCGCCGCTCGCTCGCGCGCCTCGCGCACGTTTTCCCGCGCCGCCGCCTCCGCCACGGCCGCGCCCGCCTCGGCGGCCGCAGCGGCAGCGGCAGCGTCGCGTGCGGCGGAGAGCATCTGCGCGGTGGCGAGCCGCTCGGCCTTGGTGGAGCAAGGGGTGGGGGTGAAGGGAAAGGGGTGGGGGGGGGGGGGGTGAAAGAGTGGGGGGGTTATTAAAAGGGTTTGTCTCCCCCTCGAGAAGCTTAGCGAGGTTGAGCCTATGCCGATTCGTCTTTCCAGAGGAGGGTTGAAGGGGGGCCCCCCTCAAAAAAACTTTCCTTTTCCGACCTCTGG